AGAATTTGGGACAAAATTCCTATAGGAAAAATTCCTATAGGAATTTTGTCCCAAATTCTTATAGGAATTTTTCCTATAGGAATTCCTATAGGAAATTTTCGTAAGGGTTGTTTGATCTGGGCTTGCGTTTGTGACGTCTTCTAATGTCTTAACACGTTAAGGAGCATTATTTGCCTATAAGTACAAAACTACTGCACATAATTATAATGAAAACGTATCCACGACTGGACAGTTGCTGAAGTACACTACAGTAAATTTGCTTGTTAAAGTACACCGCGCCATCTGCTCCATGATAGACTTCTGCAACTAACTATTGAAGACAGTTTTTAACTTCTATGTATATCAATCGATACACATATATGGAAAAAAACTATGAGAACAGATTTGCTGCATTGTAAATTGTAAGTCTTTTCAACATACTTTCCAATTAAATTTATAAGTTTCAGAAAGTGATACAAATTGATTATAGATATAAATACGTGATAAATTAAATGGACTTACTTTTCTCGACTTTGAATGTTGATCCAATTCCAAATACGTAAATTTGTTAGTGCTTTTGCAAATTGTTCTCTAACAGCGAACTCTGCAAAACTGAGAAAAGATGTATCGTCATGGTGGTTAAAATTACCTAATTTTGCTATGTCATCATTCATGATGCAAATGGGCCTTTGTGTTGACAGTACTGATCATGTTCATAGCGGGCCACACAACCTTGTTCACGCCTGTCGCTATCAACTTGCAACAAGTTGTTGATTTTCTCAATTTTTACGCGTGTATGGAAATATGCAACAAGTATACCACTATTAAAATAAAAGTTTGTTTCTCCGAAAATATTGATTCTTAAAGTTTGAGTTTGCCCGGCAGTTAGCGCTAATAGTTAAAACTTAAAACAAGTACAACCATGTAGCAATGTTGTTTTAATATATTCATATAGTATACACTCAGTACAGTATATATAGTATGTGTTGAAATAAGCGTAACGTTTATCCTGTTGTCATTACACAGATCGGAAGAATATTCTTGCTCGAACGCAAGAATATTCCTCGCCTCGAAACTAGACACATTATAACTTCTGTCTAATAAAATAATGCCTTGTGAGAGGAGAGATATTTCGCATGATTATCAAGCGACTAGCTAATGACCTGTGTCTACAACCATGTAGGAATAACGCTGCAACTTTAGTCGTATCTACTAATCTACATATATATACCTGTGTGCAGATATAAAGGCGGCCAACTGGAAGAAATTAATATGTTATTGTGCCAAGAAAGTTTCCAAGTTACCTCCACACGATATGAAATGAGTTACTCCTTTTCAGCTTTTGGGAATACAGTATTCTGTCCCAACTCCAACGAACCTTAATCCTTCAATGCTATTTAGTAGAAATAGGATGTCGGTAGAACATCGAAAGAAGCAGGTGATGTCTGACTTTAAGTTTAATTTATGTACTCCAAAATATATAAAATTATGTACAAATTATCCAGTATCCACTTCCCTCCTCGATAACATATCAGTGAAACGTCGCGATAACTTTTAGTGACTTCTTAATAATTAACTTTAGGCCTGATTAACTTTCAAACGATCTAACCGACCTGCTTGACCTTGGCCTGTCCTTACGTCATTGATCATTGAAAAGTGCGTGACGTAAGCACTTCTAGAGTCAATTAAAGTAAGACAAACTTTTGCTAATTTCTCATCCAATTTTCATCCAAATTTAACCAAAATTTAATCAATTTGCGGCAAACGCACGCACACTCGACTGCGGATAAAAACATAACCACGTTTTAGAAATTAAATGCAAAGTTCAGCATGTCACGTGATAAACGCAATTTTTGTCGACGCAAGGGTGAAGTTTCGTAAATTTTGAAAGGAAGAAAGTTAACATGCATGACCAATAATACCACATATAATTTTACAGTCTTTCCAGCTTCGCTTCCAACAGCAATGCAGTGAGCTCCATATATATCTGGAGTGAGAACTCGAGTCCAAAAAGTAAAGGAAATTAAAGAGCTATTGGACCTCAGTTCCAGTCCCTTTCTATTGTTTTTGTCTGCGCGGTCAACACGAAATTGGCAACTGAGTGTGCCAAAATTTCGTATTTTTACATCGATTTAATTAAAGTGGCACTCACGTCAAAATTTTTATTTTCTTAATCGAAAATACTCTTAAAACTGTATAGTAACTTGTTTTGAAAATTTTTGTTCCCATGCTTAGTTCTTGAGATATTTTGTTTGTAACCATGTGACGTCAATGACTCAATTACATATATAATGAGGCATCAGTAATTGTTGTATATCTTTGCTATTTTTTCTTCAAATCTTTTCAAGATGTGGCCTGTTTGTTAATTTAACCTACATCATAAAGCATACTGATTTTTTTAAACAAATCCATCAAAAATTGCAAAGATACACAACGATTACTGATATCTCATTATATATGTAATTGAGTCATTGACGTCACAGATAAAATATCTCAAGAACTAAGCATGGAAATAAAAATCTTCAAAACAAGTTACTATACAGTTTTAAGAGCATTTTCGTTTACAGTCGATTTCACGAAACTTTGACCACAAATGTTCCGAAGTTCGTTGCGAAGTTCGTTGCGAAGTTCAAAAGTTCATAATGAGATTCACATACCAGTTTGTAAACTACGCATTTGATTGGCTTCTTCCACTTCAGTGACCAATCAGGGACGACTTTGTTTACAAATTGGCTTGTAAATTCCAATATGAACTTGCGAACTTCGCGACGAAGTTCGGAACATTTGTGGTCAAAGTTTCGTGAAATCGACTGTAAGAAAATAATAATTTTGACGCGAGTGCCACTTTAAATGGTTTTATGAACTGATAACTTGTTTAGCGACACAGTCCGTCAGAAAGAACTGGAATTAGCTTGGAAAAAGGGTATTAAAACTGTTTACGACCTTTATAGCTATATTGACTTCATAGCAATAGCGACCGTCACTTTCCTTATAGGCCGAATGACTGAAGTTCTTGTTCCGGATATATAGAGCTCACTGGAGCACAATCTCGTTCTCAGGGTCGTTATGACATTAACAAATATAGACATTCCCATTAAAAGCCATCATTCAAAAGGCTGAACTATGCCTTTAAAACGAAAAGTTTTCGTGCGCGCGAAAATGTATACATACATGTCTTTGGGTCCTGTTGAGCACTCTCGTTGATCATTGGCTTTGCGGGCACTGTGATTTCTCTTTGATCTTGTCCTTCATCTCAACCTGTTGTAAATGAGTAGTTTAGTTTAGTCGTGATTAGATTAGTATATTTCACTAATCGTAGAGATATTCTGGGATACTTACATAGTCAAAGATATGAATAATATGAAATATAAACTTCCTATAAATTCTATAAGAGGAACTTTTTAGTAAAAAACGTAACGGAAATTGTTTTAAATAACTAATGTGCGTCACGCACAGCAAGGTAATACAATTAGGCCACTATTTTGTTGTATAGTTAGTTTCTCATCCGGAGCTTCACTTAAAGTTGATGCGGGCGGGCGGGCCATTACCATTATTTGCAGTGGATTTCCCCTCTCCGTAAAATCTATTTTGGAAAAGTGCGCATTAAGCATTTATATAGTGCGCACCGGAAAATACAGGGATCGTTGTATATGTTTTATACAGCTGCGACTCTCTGAAAAACAGCACAAAATCAGTAAGTGCAACTGAAAGCATGTTTTCATATTAAAAACATGGCCACTCCACATGTGAAATAATTTTGTACCCAGAACGTTTCGCGTTTTTCTCCCCTATCCCTGGCTTCCGATAGAACTTTTATAGCTGAGTTTGCATATTTGATAAGGCGTAAAAAAAAAATACCTGTGGTTCCGGTTTCATGTCGTGAAAAAATTAGGGTTGGTCGGTCGGAAATAAATTTTTTTTTTGAATATTTTTTTCATGGTTTTGGCGGTTTTTTGCTGGGCGATTTGCAGTAGAGTCCCGACATCAATATTAACTAGAGGTGCGTATTTCCTATGGACGAATTTAGGCAATTTGGGTCAATAATTAGTGAGACAACAGACGCCATTTTGGCACGCTGTATGAGCAACCCGCAACCACCTGGAGAAAATAGGGTCGCACGGTCAATTACGTTGAAAAAATAATAGGGTCGGCAGAAAAAAATAGGGTCGGTCGGGAACCGGAACCACAGGGTTTTTTTTACGCCTAACCGTATTAAAAGCAAACTTATTTTTAATATATTTATTAATTTAAGGTCGGTGTCGTGCCTTTGTTGTCTGTATCGCCGGAGAGAACCTTGTTTCCGCAAGTTAATTATGTAAGTTATCATATTCTTTTATTGATACTTTCTTGTCCACGAGTTCTAACTCACGTAATATATTCACTATTAACATTTGAAATTGCTTTTGTAAGATCTTCCGTTTATACCATGCGTGTATATAGTGCGTGTATTTCAGCCATTCGAGATTTACTTGACGTTGTTAAAAACATTTAAGATGTTTGAACTCTGTGTTTCTTGCAACGACTCAATGAGAATATTTCTTGTATTTCCAAATGACATTCAGGTTCAACTGCATTTTCACTTCATTTACTCACCATCTGCAACTCAGTGGTTTCAAAATAAGCCGTCGCATCCGACTGCCACTAGGGAGCTTTAGATTTGACTACGAGTACGACTACGAGTACGAGATTCGTCAAGCTAAACGCATGCTGTATGCTTACGCCATCCCGTACTGACGAGAAAAAGTCGTAGCCGTCGCCCATCTGAGTACGAAATTGTGGAGAACTCTCGTAGTCCTCACGACGACTTTTCAAAAAAAAAAAGAAAGTTGGCTTGTTTTTGTTTACCAAAAATAATTTGTAGCGTTTATATAGGGTTTATCCGGCGCAAATAATATATTAGTACTAAATATCTGGCCTGTTTTTAATGTTATGACTTATTTACACGTTTTGTAGGGGATTTTGGTCTGCAGGAGATTTAGTTTATGAAACTTTTTCTCTCGTTGTTGGTTTACTGTTATAAAAGCAACATTTAATTGGAAACGAAAACGACTACGGTAATTTCCTCGCACGCGATCAAATCTCGTACTCGTAGTCGTACTCGTAGTCAAATCTAAAGCTCCCTATTCTTCCATTTGCGACGGCTACTTTCTCTTTTGTAAGTAACTATAAATTCTAATTAAGTGTTTACAAAATGTTTTGTGAGCAAACAAGCGTGTATTTCCCCTGGAATTTCGTCGAAACATAGCCACAGTCACAGATTACTAGATTAGAAGCTTTGATACGTACGCGTCTCTTGTGTGTTGAGGACAGGCTCATAGGTTTTCTTGGTAGCGGTTTCTAACCTGTTATACTTTATGTAAGATGTCACATTCATCTCCAAGAACAAAAACAAAATGGCGGAAAAACGACAACGAAAGCCAGCGGAGATGTGGTCGCTATTGTTATTGGACGTTGTTGTTATACGCATTAATTATAAGAATATAATTTTAACAGTGTTTTAGACATTTAAAATATGATTTTTTGTGTCTCAAAAACAAACGCTGGAAAATGCATCTTCTACAGTCTAGAAGTTCAAAATTTTCTGGAAGTAGCATCAGGAACTGCGAAACAGGGGCTGGGGGGCTTTAGCCCCCCAATAATTTCCATATATGTGTGATTTTTAGAAAATAAGAATACTGATTTCTTTTAGATCAGTTAACAATATAATTATAACTTATATAGCCAAGTATTCAATTTAATTCTGGTTGGATTAAACAAATGACGGGTAATATTAGATTAAGAGTCGTTTATTAAGAAACTTTTTAACAGCAACTAGTGAATTTGGTTCCATTTCCGGGGCTCCGGGAGGTCTCAGATTTCAAAATTTCCCGAAGCAGCATGCCCCAGGACCCCCTAACAAACTCACGCCTTTGGCGTTCGCTATAGCCCCCCCCCCCCCTCCAATCCAAAAATGGCTGCGCAGTCCCTGAGCATGCCGTCAGATCACCCAAGTTGCGAACTCCTACTCTTCCCAACCCAACCTCTACTATGAAATGTTTTGAAACCACTGCAACTTCTGGGTGAAACAGGGGTGGTGCGGGATATCGGTAGGATTCATGGGTATATAGCTGGA